ATAAGAATAGCCTTTATAAGCCTTATAAAGAACTATAACCACTATTAATACCCTTAAAAATATAGTATTTAATCTTTTAAGACTTCATCGTTAAACTACTAAAGTCTAAAGAACTATTAACGAACATATAATATAATAGTATTTTAGTTATCATCGACCGATTTACTAAGTTCGCTTATTTTATATTATATAAAAAAGTAAGTAACACTAAGGAATTAGTATATACCTTCTTTAAAATAGTTATTACTAACCACGGTTTACCTAAGGAAATAGTTTCCGATAAAGATAAGCTATTTACTATTAAGTTTTAGAAATCTCTAATCTTATAGCTCGGTATAAATTATAAACTATTAACCTTTTTTTATCTATAAACCGATAAATAAATAGAAAAGATTAACTAAATTCTTAAAATATATTTCCGCTATTATATAAATTATAATTAAAATAATTAGGTAGTACTATTACTAATAGTTTAGTTTATATATAACAGCGTAGTTAGTAAAAATACGAAAGAATCCCCTTTTTACCTTAACTACGGATTTTAATTAATTATATATAGAAAAGTACGTAAAGGATTATAAACTATAAAAGTTATAGTAAACGTAAGTAAACTTAAAAAAATCTAAAAAAAAGCCTCTTTAGACCTTAAGTTTATACGGTAACGTATAAAAAAATACGCCGATAGATTAAAGATTAATAAACTAATTTTAAAAAAAGGAAATAACGTATATCTCTTTCGCTATAATATTAAAACGAAATAACTAAACAATAAATTAAATTATAAAAAACTTAGACTTTTCGAAATTATTAAAAAAGTTTTATTAATTAATTTTAAATTAAAATTCTTAAACACGATACGATACTACCTAGTTTTTTATATTTTATTTTTAAAACTAATATTTAAAGGCTTATATATTAAAAATCGTATTATTATTAAACTTAACGAATTAAAATACGAAGTTAAGCGAATTATCGATTACTAAATTAAAAAAGGATGGGAAAAATACCTTATTAAATAGAAAGATTATGGATATAAAGATAATATATAGGAACCCGTTATGAACTTTTAAAACTTTTAATAGTTTTTCAAAGAGTATTAAAATTAAATTTAAACCTAAAACTTTTAATTATTACGGCGTCTTAATCGATAACGCTAAAAGTATTATTAACTTACGCCTCCCGGGTTACTAAGGAAATACTCTCGGTATCCTTAAGAAATTCTTTTAATACGATACGACTTTTTTTAAATATTATTTATTTTTAGGAATAAAGGCGTTTTAATTTAGATAACGATTTATTTAATTTAGCTTAAGCTTTTTAATAAGCCTTAGCTTTTTTTTATAACTTTATAATTTTTTTTTAAAACCGCGACTTTTTTGCTTATTTTTTATAATTAAAACGATTAAATTTTATTATTAAACGATTTATTATATTTATTAATTAAGACCCGTAGGAAACTATCTACAGAACTTATAAATATAGATAATATTAATAAAAATATCGTACGAAATACCTAAGCAATAGTATATCTCGTAAATATTAAAATCGAAAAGAACTAAGTAATAAACGCCTTAAAAACGATAATTTAAATACGGTATTATTTTTATACTTTTATTAAAGAAGCGAATAATATATAATAAATAGCAACGAGACGTAGCTATTTATAATTTCGATTTTTTAATTCGGCTTAATATAGCGTTAACATATTTTAATAAAAACACTTAACGATTCCTTAACTTAGGAATAAATAACTTATTCATAAGCCTAGGGACTAAACTTTCGAGGGGAGGAGCTAATATTACGACCTAATACGTATTACTAAACTAAGGCCCTACCCTACAAGACCTACGGCGGCTATTATATTATATATATAATAATAACGGCTCTCCTCAAAATAAAAGAACTATAAATAAGTCATATAACTACAATCGTACAATAAAATAAAAAATAAATACCTATAAATAAATAAAACGAGTAATTATAAAAATATAAGACGGACGACCGTTCGGTAAACCGTTAAATAATAAATAAATAAGATATTATAAAGGATACGTTTACGACTAGGATTTGTATATAGGATAGCCCGAGCTAGGCTCAAAAATAGATTTCTATAGCTTTTTTAATAATTAATTTTTATACTAAATCTAACGATTGCTTTTAATTATCTTTATTAAGAACCTTATTAATAAGACTACGACTAATTATCGAAGCTTTTTTATTTAACGACTTATAGATAATAGCTTTTTTAAAGCTATTTTAATGACGACTATTGTTTATGAGTATCGTAGCCCTGACTTTTGTTAACATAAACCTTATTACGATTAGCCGATCGTAATAATTAAATAGATTATATAGTTTATTATTTACGTCTTTTTTTTGTGTTTATATTTCGTAAGTTATAAAATAAATATAAATATTACGTAATCCGGTTACGGTTAATATAAATATAAAATAAATAAATTTATATATTTATTACGAAAAATAAATAAAAAAGAAAAAAAAAAAAAAAGGTCTTTTAAAATTAAAAAAGGTATAAAAAAAAGGGATTTTTTAATAATCGGCGGTTAATTTAAAGGGTTTTATTACTAAATTATTTAAAAGCGTTATTAATATAATAAACGTCTCCTTTTTAATAAAAGTTTAAAAAATCGGAAATTTTTTATTTCGTACGGCGTTAAAAAGTCGTTTTTTTTAATTTTTATAAAAAGTTAAAATAATACGATTCTTTTATTTTATATAATATTAAAGGGTCGCCTTTTTTATTCTATAATAGCTTTATTAATTTACGATAATAGTTAAATTATTAATTAATATTAATTTACGTAATTATAAAATGATTTATTTAATCGAACTATGGTGACGAAGGGTTAATTATTTTTATATTGATCTCTATATGAAATAGAAAAGAGAGGTTTTAACTATTAGTTAGATCGCTGGTTAAACGCTGATATAGAGACCCTTAGATGGCCCCTGCGCTGGCGCTGACTCGAGGTCGAATTGGGCTTCCAATCCGACAAGTACACTTGAAAAGGCAGGCGTTAAGATAGGGTCGAAATCAACGTGCTTGGAGCCGGGTGCCCTGAGAAGCCCAATGAAAATTCAACTGGCGAGCGCATCATCTCTCCCGGCAGATGAGTGAACCGTACGGTCGGGCCAAGTGAAGCTATCATCAACTTCGATGAAGGAGCCTTCGATTTGGCTGTACGGATAGGCAGGTTGGTAGCCACACAGCCAGGTTTAGTGGGTCTCCGAGGGTGGGGTGGCGGGGGTGTGAAGAGTGGGGGATTGTGAGAGCCGATGGTACCCGCACAACCGTTGCCAACTTTTTTTGTAAGGGCGCCGCAACGAAGAGGACCCAATCCGTGCCGGGACCTTCTTTATGGACTTGGATGAGGTCTTGCTTACGTTTGTGTTTTAGTTATTAGCGATCAATCGACCGCTTCATGGAAAATACGTGTTCGTTTTGATTGTGGTTGGCAAATGAATGGCCACGGCTCTGTGTTTGCTTGGCTTGGTGGCTTGGAAGCGGCAGCCGGCGACTACAAAGTAAGAGGATGTGAACGCGGATGGATGCATGTTCACTTTTAGTCCACTGAAATCAGGTGGACTTGGAGTGGGACTGCGGGCCACCGGATACCTTGTGCGCTGACACTTGGGCATTAAAGTTCTGAGCGTTGAGATGGACTATCAAATGCAAGATCTTATATTGCCGATTTCACTCCGCATGGGAGGCAGTTCCCTTGTCCTGCAGACGCAAATGATAGCAGGTATGGCGGTGCTGCCCTAGTTTGTGCTCATCATGGGGCCGCGAAGGTCGAACGTAATGGGGGAAGGGCCTCATGTTGAGAGACAATGCCGCTGCGTACGCGCTTTCGCCCATGTCGCAGTGTTAGGCGAACACGTCAAGGGAGAAGGATCAGACAGAACTTATGGGACATTCAATACGACAATGCGGTTGAGTTTTATTCAGGCCATGGAGAGGAAGACGTCCTCTCAAACCAACTACTGCTGCAGCCAAGATAGTGGTCATACCACGCTTCCCATATCTAATAACAAGATAGCGACGGATGCAGCGAGAGGGAAGGTAATAAATGACGCCTGTTTTTAAAGAGGTTGTCCACGTTTGAGACTGCCAGCTCCAAATAGCGCGTGACAACTACTTAAATCCAAGTTCACCTATTTTAATTAGACTTAGAATTTCAAGTTCCCTTCTTTCGAGTGTACCTGAAACTAGGTCCTCAAGTCCATCTATTTCGAGTGTATCTAAATCCAAGTCCTTTTGTTTAGCTATTTCGTGTATATTGAATTTAAGTCTATTCGTTTTGATTGGACTTGAAATTTCAAGTCCGCCCGGCTAGGTGCTAAAACTCCACCAGCTGCAGATTCCACACCCGCAAGCACTCCACAGTCACAGATCAGTTCTTATTGAGACACTGTTTTATCTTCGCTGTTGGCGATGTTGTTAGTCCTTCTGTGGCCTCGTGAGCGATTATTAATTTAGGTGCATTGCGGCGCATTAGGGTAGAAATCGTCAAGTGCGGCTGCTGCAAGTCGGCAGGTGGAACGGGCTGGCGGGGAGTCTACACTAAACCCGCAGCTCGACTCGCACCCTAACCCACCCCATCCACTAACCTTGATGAGGCTAAAGACCCTATAGACCTAGGTACTGCCCGGCGGGCACTGGAGCGCTTTTGAGTCAACCTGGCAAATCCCATATCACGTGCGCATCATTGCTGGCAGTGAACCACCAGCTAATTAAAGCCACAAGGATCAAGGCTAGGTACGTTGCCCCGCGCGACTGCACAGACCGCCAACCACAACAGGGAGCTGATGACATTTCGATGCAGAGCGAAACCCCACGGCCGATTTGGCGATGCCTTCGTTGCGCTGCAGCCTCAACATTTTCACCCCTCGACGGTATCTACCGCCAGCATGAGAATATAAATTATCTTATCATCACCGAACCTTGTCTAAATAATGCCACCCGAAGCGCGCATCAAATGACCTCCCCGAACCGTTTGCGAGAAGACGTCCTGGCTTGGCTCAATACTCTCTCGCCTTGTCCGGATCCGCCCTCCTTCGCACATCGCACATCGAGCAGCGGCATTAATTCCAGCAAACGCCGACATACCGAATCGGACGTTTTGCAGCCCTCTCCGAAAAGGCCCTGCCGCCTCGCCCCTCCGGCGTCACCGACCATGTCCGTCTCGCCGACGAAACGATCGTACGATACCCACGACTCCTCGAGCATCGCCTCGTCTTGAGATGATGACTAGACTCCCAGAAGCAAAAATATTAGGATGATACTTGAATGGGGAAATCCACTAATTACTGCATCCTCTCGCCGTAGCGGCTCTGTCTCCCCGAAGAAGCTGGCCCGTAACTGGGCTGTGAGAACCGCTTCTGCACGGCAGTTCACCATTAGGGAGGACATCCCAGCCTCGCTCCAAAGTATGTGGAAGGATATTGGTCGATAGGACAGGGGAATCGGTATAATTGGTCTCGCGGAAAAGGTACAAACCTCTCATTTGAGAGACTATACAGGCCTCGGTTGAGACCGCCCAGACATCGAACCCAGAGTACGAGCAGGATGTTTTCGAAAGCTTCTTCTACGAGCAAGCGACGCAGGGCGCATATGGCTCGCGCACCATACTCGGCCCCACACCCTCCGTTGCCGCCGTGCTGGACATCATGGATCGAGGCATCAGCTGCCGTGACGAACAGATGGACGAAGCCGGATGGAATCAAATTGTTCATAGCCGCATTCTCGAACTCGCCTTCACCGGCTTGTGGTCCAAGAACGACGACATAATTGCGTTTGCTCCATGGTAATTCTCCACCTCACGCCTTCACCTTGAACCGTTCTGACACGGCTGACAGCACGTCCGCTAAGATGTTACCCGACTATGCCGATCCTGTGAGCCGCAAGGTCGACTTTTGCGCGTGCATCCGTCCCGACGCATTGGCAACCATCGCCATCCAGTCTATTCGTGACCAAGATGCATTGGCCAACCAATCCATCAATCACACCGATTTTCCACCACTCCAGGCCCGGCCGATCGCTCTTTCCATCGAGACTAAGATTCACGGTGAGGGGATGAACAATGCCGAGACCCAGTTGGTTACATGGCATGCTGCGCAGTGGCAGTCGTTGGACCGGCTGGTGGGACGGGCTGAACCCACGATGCAGCTACCAGACTTTCGGCCAGGGATAATCATCCAAGGACACGAATGGTTCTTTGTGGCGAGCACAAAACGGGGCGATCAAGTGGTGAGTTGTTGGACTTGATGATTCGAAGGCCGTGGCTCTGAAGCTGACACTTTGAGCAGACATTGTGGACCAGCCAACACATTGGCTCTACGGCCAAGGCCACGGGTGTGTATCACATCGTATGCGTGCTGCAATACTTGAAGCGGTGGATCGAGAACACGTACTGGCCTTGGTCCAAGCAGGCCGTCCTAAGGCTTTCGGACGAGACTTCAACTACTGGACTAGTCGCTTGCCTATGAGTGCAGCAGGACGATTCTCAGTTGTATCCAGGTTGATGCATTCAAGACCATGATCTAAACACTATGCAACAAGGATTCGTCCACTTAAGCTTGAAGAATGTGCTTAACCCGACTCTGCTCACCGCTGGCATGCTTTCTCTTTCAAGTCCACCCGTTAAGAGTGGACTTGAAGTGGACTTGAAGTTCAAGTTCACCAGTTTTGAGTGGATTTGGACTATGCCATTTGGCGAACAGGTATTTCGCCTCCGTCACTGATTCCACCCTATAAGGTCTGCCCGCCCATCCAGCTCCTTGTCACAGGAGCAGCTCACGTCCCCGCGGCCTATCTTCGTGTAAAGCGAACGAATAGCTCGACTCTCACCGTTGTCATGCAACTTGGTGTGTTTGATGGGTCGGCTACTGTTAGATAGCCTCGTCTCCCAAAGGAAGCATTAGTTGTCTCCTGGTCTGGGCATTTCCGTATCGCGAACATGAGCAGGCCAGGGGATTCTCAAAATTTGCTACTGTCACACCGGCGCACCCAATGAGACAGGGTCATTTGTGAAGCCTAATACTCACCGTTTGCCTGACATTCGTCATATGATTGGGCGTTTATGGCAACGAGGAAAGGACGAAGTCGCCGCTAACAGCAGCTGGACTCTGGCATTGGACGCTGCTTTGGTTCCTAGCACTAGTTACTATGGAAGTCCCTTGAGCACCATGGCGTCTACTTTGGCGAACGCAAGTCGAATAGATGGCAGACGGCTACGCATACACCGACGCAGATCCTATGAAACACCTTGCAAGAAGGCTTATCGCGGCAGCTTGATGAAATGAGAGGTGTTGGGAAACGGCGGGCTTGAGCTTTCTGTGTTGTTACTCTCTGTGGTACGGGGATAAACGGCGCTGGGACGATGTGGCCCGGGTGCGGAACATTTGGACCGTGACCACAAGGGTGAAAATAATCGCTGGCAGCATCGAAACGACTCACAAAACTCTACTGGAATTCCAAAGAGGTATTACTGAAACGCCAAATTGATATGACTGCAGTTAATACGTTGCAAAATGATCGAAGCAGTCTTGGTAGAGGTGACCTTGGTTGGGGCGGATTCGTGTGGATTTCGAAACAGCACCAGCCCCCACGGTACCCAGGACGTTGTTAAATCCTTTGCGAGGACTCTGGAATGCAAAGAATTTTGTTTCAGTTGAAATTGGCAAGTCTCGGTCAACCTGGTAGAAGACTGCGACCGTCGCCTCCCACCAGCCCGGTAGTCGCGGGTTTGTAGAGCAGCCTCTGCTATGCTCCATAGAGAATTCACAACGCACCTAGACTCGTGAAATTGAACGTTCGCCAAAGACGACTGTGAGACGATGTGCAACTCCTAGAGTGGTGTTGTCGGCCGGGGGGGCAGGAGTGGGGGACGAGCGATCATGAGTGTGGTCGTGGCGAATTGCTCCAAACCCAGAAAGGCAGTGACACCATTTAGTTAGTAACAGGCAGTGCTTTCCTTGTCAAAATCAAACAAGAACGGCAAGCTTCCGGCGGTTGTGATCAGGTTTTCGCAATGCTATACCTAAGCGTGAGTACTCAGCTCGGATGTCTTCTCGGCGTGGCCGTGTTCAGCGGTTTCATCAAATCTTGGATAGATGCGGAAATTGAAGGGAGGGGGAGCGGGTGGCGCCAAGAGGAAGTTGTATGGGGAATAAGACAGAAGATGTAGATAAAGCAGGCTGGGAAATGCGGACTTGACGGTGAAGAAAGCTTGGAATAGGGTTACGTGAAATCTAAAGTCCAAGGATTTCTCCAGCGATCCATGCCTACTTTGGCTTGTCTTGTCACATGTTCTTCGATTACAACGTCTTGGCTTAGGATTCCCCCCATGCATGCAATGAGGTGTTCGTTGATAATAAGAGCGATCAATGTCGGCAAGGATGATCTGGTCCCCTCCGAATGTCAACAGAAGCTTGATGGAAATTGGTAAGGTGATGCGGTGGCTCGTGAAGGGGCGAGGTGGCACCTTGAAAGGGGAGGGATGAACTTTTGTCACGATTGAAGATGGCCATGCTTGCCTTCTTAAGCCCACATGCAATACGGAAGCGGCTGACCGAGTAATCAAATTGCGATCATCCGACGTCGATCGTGCCTAAGCGCTTGGCACAACTGCGTATCCAAACATTGGTTATCTCTTCTAGCCCCAGGGGACGGTGAGAAAGTGAAAATGAGCTCGCAAATAAGGAGCAAGCAATTATCAATCGATTGGGTTTGCTCAAGAGGGTGGTAATATATCTTGCAGGATATACTCTTGGTACTGTAGCATTGAATTTACAAGAATACCAGACGTTGCCGTTGCTCCTACGCTCGTTTTCCCCCACGCACTTTTTGAATGGTGGTGGCCAACTGGATGGTTTCAAATTGAATGAGCAAAAGACGAACATGAAGGAAACAATAGCCTTAATTAAGATTAAAATAAGTTTAAGCTCAAGCTCACTTAATAGGGTGGGCCTACAATCAGATTTAATCATCTCAGATGGATGGGCTTTCTTCTTAAAGATTTATAATAGCTTTGTTGAGGTCCTCTTGTCACATACGACCATACCCATTGGAAAACTCGGGATCCCGTCCGCTCTCCCATAGATAAGCCAATGAGGGCCGGATTAGTAGTTGGGTCGGTGACGACCAGCGAATACCTGGTGTTGTATGTATTTTTGCTTAGCTAGGTATGTCTTTTGCTTCAGCGGCTAGGAAGCTAATCTCAACATTGCTTCTGCCAAGTCTATGGACAGCCCTCGCTATGGTAATATGCCAAAAGAGACCGTTGTAGATGTCTTTGACATCCCAAATCTGAGTGGGAATGTATTGAGAGTGGGCACCTGGAACGTGGGGAATTACTGCCAAGTATGGTCTCCCCCACCTTTCGCATTCGTAAAGTACTCGGAACCTTCAAGTCAAAAATTATGACATGGAATGATTGCTCTAAACAACGATCAACCCTCGTAGGTCACGGTAGCAGTCGAGCTGAAATGTTATCTGGCTCTCCAACATTCGTAACCGTTTCCTTGGGTAAAGTAATTGGGTCACTAGTGTCGCCGTGAATAAATAGCTCCCTACTCTTGTTTTACGCCTTTTAATCAACAGTCTACACGACCCAGCTACCGGAAGTTATGAACTAGTTAATCGGCTGTCTCTTTCTTCTAATTGAACAATAGTAGCCTCCTCCTCAATCAAAACCGTGCAGGAAACATACTGATATATCTTGAACACGTTTCTAGCCGTCTACCTCCTCTATTGTCTTTGAAGATAGGCCTATGACTCTGATCCTTCTTGCATTCTGAATGTCACAGGTTGACATTTCCATTTTTCAATTCATCGTCTTAAATAGATCTCGATCGAATAAAACGATATTTGAGATATGTCCGAGCTTCCAGCTCGGCAAAGAAACAACGGAAGCAATGCTACGGGGTTCCGGGCATCAATGCTAATACGCCAAGCGGATTCAACCCGTTGACTCGCAGTAGCTTCTTTACAGAGTTTAAGTACCCGAAATTAAGCAAAGCATCATTCGTTTCAAAGATAGAAAGAACAGGGAAAAAACCTCTTCAGAAATAAACAGACACACCCTCATTATTTCCGTTTTCAAGATCCATAAAACCTAAACCTTGGACTAATTCAGATACCTGACCGTAGTCATAGTAGTCTAAGCAAGAACCCTTATTACGTTTCTCTAATTAACGCTCTTCTGGATGAATTAGAGTATCATCATCAAGTCGCAAGCTTACCGCCGTTTTCTGGGTATACACGTACGCTATATATACAGTGGCGGCTAGGGTCTCTTCTTAGGGAGAACTTGCGTCCCGAAGGAAGGAATTCTCGACGAGAAGGTTCTTACTTTATTCAAGTACCTCCAGAGTCTTTTTTAAAAGACTTCAATTATTCATGAAATTCTTTTTAACACCTCCAAGGATACACAGGGAAGTAAACAGAGCCGTGAACATTGATTAGTGTCTCCGTTGTGATCGAGGAAATTAGCTGTCTTCTACTCAATCTGCCCATGTTTCCACCTACACTGTATTTTTAGTCTTAATTATCCCTGGTGATTAGTGTCTCGTTGCCTCTGAAATGCCAAGAACAGTTGTCCTAAGCCACTCAATCTTCAGGTGAAATGACTTCCTGAGAGGTTATCTCCTCTTTATCACCGATTACTGGGTCTTTGTCCGTGAGGTGTACATAGAGCATAAGATTAAAATCTAGCTCAGGCGTAATGTCTACCTACTCCAATTCCGGACTTTTCTCAAAATCTACTAGTCCTGAAGTCTTCTCCGAATATGAAAATTTCTCTGTATAAGTATCTGCCATAGCAGAGTCAGGGTTTAGGCCGGCAAGGAGGGCCGCGGAGTGATTTATTTGACTCGGGAGCGAACACGTTTATCTTCGACTGCCGGTCCAAACATGAGTCCACGACCTACAGCGGACATGAATTCAATTGATTTGAAGCGCAAGGGATGTTTAATGACTGTAAATCCTTTCTATCGACATAGCATCATCTCACCGCCCAATATTCATAGCTCCAACATGCTAGCCTGGAACGAACTGATTGCCCATAGCTCAACTCTTTAATGTAACCACTTTTGGCATACTGTGGCGAAGATAATTCCGAGTGATGCAAATGCGCTGTCGATAACAGCCGTCTTGAGCTCAACATCGAGATTGAACCTCGGGAATGCCCAAGGAGTCTCGGAATTCTTGTGTTTAGTGAACTGGAACATCCCCCTTGTCAGTGCAATTCTTTGAACTAGGAGACGAGGTTTAGATGATCTTCAGAGAAACTACCCTCCGATGATAGGAACACCAACACAAAAAGTAGCAATCTGACTAGATCCTATTGATCAATACAGAGATGCCGACAAGGGAGTTTCACTGATTCAAGCCATGTTTATGAAGAATCGCTCAGCAGCTGGAATAATCGCGTCCGACATCAACCAAGCCTTGGCCCGCATCACGGTACGTTTAGGTTGTCGAGCAC